AGAGTATGGGTACAGATGTAATGTTGACATACGTATTAATATAAGTCCTGAAAGCACGTCTGAAACGACAGCTATGTCAAATAGAAATAGTCGATGTGGATTTTTTTTCTTCATTTATGTAAGATGCTTATATAATTTAAAAATATTCCATTAAATTAAGTCGACTTAAATATAATCATCACATGTAATAGATTTTATAGAAAAATACATTGACATTTAATCGTTTTTTTAACAAGTGTAAACAATCTTCGTTAGTCTACCGTTGATTTTCTCTGCTAATTTAATATGAATTCATCCACGAACCGAATAGCAAATATTATTATTGATTGTTCGATTATTTCTTTAACTTCAATCAGTATTTGTATTTCAACTGTAGTCTTCGGATTTATACTTTATTATTTAATCAAAATTAAAAATTCTCCTAATCAACTCGCACTTCTTTTAACAGGGAACGTGTATTTATCCATTCTTTTTTCTTGTATATTACTTCTGAAAGAGTATGTTCGTATTTTACCAGGACATCTTTATTCAATAAACTCATTAAATGATGGAATTTATTGTGAAATTCGTGCTTATTTTTTATGGGCATCCAATTGTACAATATATTATTCAATTACACTTCAATCATTTCATCCTTTATGTCGAATTGTTTTTCACAATAGACGATCACTTCAATCGATAAAATTTTATCAAATCTTAATTCTTATCCAATGGATTATTTGTTTTCTTATTATGATTCCTGGTCTTTTACTTGGGTATTTTAAATACTCAAAAAATGATTATCTTTGTCAAGTTGATTATACAAGCTTAAAAAATACTTGTATTAATGGTATGTTATCTTATGCATTTCCTGTGTATGCAACTATGGGTTGTTACTATCATACATTAAGAAAAGTCAGAAAAGGAAATCATAATTTAGTTCAAGCAACTGCACGACGTGATTTAATTGTACTTTTTCGAATATGTATACTTGTTGGTTTATTTATGATTATTCCAGTACCGACAATGATAGGATTTTTCATATATTTTTCTTCGGGATACTTACCATGGTGGTTATCACAATTTCAATGGTTTGCCTTTAGTTTAATAACAAATATCGCTACAATTATTCTAATATTAATATCTCCTCATGTTCGAATTTTATGGACAAAAACTTTTCATCGTCCTCGCCATCATCCAGTGGCTATTGTATTTGCTAATAACATACGCAATTAAATTTAACTTTTCAATTATCATTAAAAAACAAATTTCTTATTATGCTTTCATTTTTTATTAATTTATAATGAGAATAGAAAGAGATTATGAGGATTACTTTTTATTATCTCCTCATAATGTATATTCCATAATTTAAAAACACACACACAAGTCAGAAGCGGATAGCTATACGTAGGCGAGAGAGAAATCAGGGAGAGACGCTAGATTATGAATACAAAAATAGTACGATCACCTCAAACCATGTTAAAAGGGTCTGGATGCGGATTTGGGTGCAGGATTAATATAATACATACACCCACACCCCTACCCTTAACATCTAATTCTTAGTTCAATTTTGTTGATTATCTTAACTGTTCCTCGTCTGATTATTTCATTCTTACCTAATTGTATGAAATCACCAAAAGAATATAAGTTGTTCTTGGCTGGTTACTTCGTGTCATTTATTCCACCGATACTTCATTTTTTCATTTTTGTATTAACGTCAGAAATATATAAGAAAGAATTCGAAACATTGTCAAGACGAAAATGGAAAGCATTTCGACGTCGTTTATATCCAAATGATGAATTATCAAGAAGAAATTAAATGACAAGACTTTGAATTTATATAAGACTGGCGAAAAGATATCCAAAAAAAATATATTCGATCATCAGAATTTTTATGACACTTACGTTAGTTTGCGAACTATTTTTCAAGCTTCGTACTGTTTATGCGAAAATGCTTTATTTGTAATATTGTAATTGTGTCGTACTGATTCACTATATAATGCTACACTCATACAGAATTCGTATGTTCGACTATTCCTAATGATGAGAATGAGAACTATTCTATAATTGATAGTTAGTCAACATACTAATTTTTCTAGTATTCTATATATTATTTTAAGCGCGAGTTTTGTTTTGTTATGATTGATTTATTATTCTCTTGAGGGTGGATGGATGTGAATTTAGATAAATAGACACCAGCCACACCCCATTCTCATTTACCTGTACTTGATCCTGTGGTCTCATTTTAGTCCACGTTAGACAACTGATTTAACAGATATTTTTATCTAGTTCTCACGTATTTATATTTGTAGATTAATATGTTATAATATCGTCTAGCAAATTCAGATGCTAGTAATTCTTTTTCACATTGATATATCTCTTCGAATATGTATGGGTTATTCCTTTTCGTGGCCCTATATATATATGTATACGCACACATACGATACATGCCGTATTCCTCCCGTTCTCTCTGTCTCTCTTATAGGGGTGTTACTTTATTTTTATTTTTCTTTATAATAAAGAATAAAGTAACGAAAATCTTTAACTTTATTTTATAAAGAATAAAGATTTACTTTATTTCTTTACTTTATTTTTAAAATAAAGATTAACTTTATTCTTTATAAAATAAAGAATAAAGTTAAAATAAAGAATAAAGTATGATTTTTTTTAAAATTTGAAAAATATCAAAAAATTCTCTTTTATAACAATAAGTTATGTCTATTACAAGATGTTTTATAGTGTAGTGATATCGTTTGTCAAGAAAAGATATAATACAAAATCAGTAAAGTGTCGAAATAATAGTTCTAATCGTGTACATAAGTTTTATAGTGAGTAAATGATTGGTAAAATTATTTTTTGCTATCGATATGGTTCTTTTCAAACTAATTCTTATGTTAACATCTGTTTGAGACATCGTTTAAGACTTTTAAAAGACGGGTCCTGCATTGTTGCTTAGGTAACTTGAAGGAATAATTGATATCAGATACTATTGTATTTGTCTACCGATAAAATATGTTGAAAAGACAAATCTTTTTATTCTTCTATAAACTGATTACTAACATATACTTTTGTTTTCGGGCAAATGTGAAACTAAATTTTATGAAATATAACATTTTATTTTTGCTAGTTTATTAATAATTTTTTTTTTCAACGATAAAAAGTTAACTATCATGAATACAACAAAAAATGAAGAAAGTATTGCAAATATATATGTTCGTATTGATCATATTATGGTTTTAATAACATCAGATATCTTAATGTTGTTGTTGATAACGAGGCACGTTGCTTCCTGTCGATATAACCTGCAACCGAAAAAGCTGATTCAGATGCAGTTGACGTTGTTGGTACACAATTATATCGACGTGCATATGATGATAAAATTGGTAAACGATTTTTATTTTCATTCCAGTATGTTTGAAAATCTTCGCAAGATGTACTTGAAGATATATGATAACTAAATTCTTGTTTTAATGTAAATGCTTTTGGTTTTGGTTTTGGTTTTGGTGCTGTGTCAGCATCACTTGATGAAGAACGACATAACATACGAAATCGATTGATTGTTGATAATTTCGATTGTTGAAGTGTATCCGTTGATGAAGATGATGCTGATGATACGGATTGTGATTGATTATGTTGTGATGCAATGGTTGTTGTTGATTTTTTTGCATAAGAAGTATCCTTTGTTGAACGCATTATTATTGATTCAGCTTCATTTGTTTCTTCAAGTGATAAATCTTGAAGCGTGAATGCATCCAAGTATGCTGCAATCTACGATAAAAAAATTAAAATATTAGAATCTCATTTCGTACATGAATCTGAACTAAATTCGATCAGTGTATTTTTAAAAACTTGTTCTTTCTTTCATCTTAAAGTATGCGCTATTGACGAAAATTATTCATAGTCATAAATAATACTGGTTTGAATGTTTAATACTTAGTCGATTTCATGTCTTTCGAAAAATCTACATGCTAAATCAGATTTTGTTCATTTGGTTATACTTACTAATTTAGCACATTGTTGTTCATATGTAGCATTTGTCTTAAAATAGAAAGTGAGTTTGTCAAATAGTAATTTTTTTAAACCATTTTCTAATGGTGAACTAAGTTTTTCGTTTGTCAAATGCAAAAATAAAAAATTAGTTGTCCAATAAGATAATGATAATGTTGGATATTGACGACCAGATAAACATTTTGTAGCAAAATAGAATGGTGCTAATACATCAGCTAATGATTTTATTAATTTCCATTGAAGATGATTGTTTTGTAAAGATCGTAATTTTGTTATTTGTTTAACTGTAAGACCAATATGAGATGGAGGTGAATAAGTTATATCATTTACTAATTGTTCAGCCGCCGAGAAACGTGCCAACATAATAAAGGTTGAATTCCACCTAATATAAAAATCATTGACCAGATCGTTTACTTTTACTTTTTTTTCATTAGTTGAATTAATATTGATATCCAAATCAATTTGTCTTCTTTTAATTTCAGCACGAACAAATGTTGTTAATAAACTTGATTTATTTATCATTTTTATTAATTTTCGAACTTTTTTTAATAAATAAGAAATTCTTTTTTTTAATTCATCCGGATTTAATAATAATTGTTTTATTTCTTGGTTTTCTTTTTCCTCTTGAATCCGGTGATCTTGTTCAGCCTGTGTTAATGTTGGATTATTATCATCATCAGAACTATCTGAATAGCTGTCACTTTCATCATCATCAGCTAATGTTGGTACATGATCAGCATCACCATCATCTTCATCATTTAAATAATTTTCATCATAATCAACCCATTCATCGACAATTACACCCATATCAACAAGACGTGATTTTTCTAGTTCATCGTCAGAATTATTAATATCTTCATTAGATGTTGTTGATGACGATGCTGTTGTTGCTATTGTTGTTGTTGATGATGATGATGCTGTTATTTCTATTGTTGTTGTTGTTGATGATGATGATATTGGTGGTACTATTATTGTTTCACCGTTTTTACTAAATATTAAAATAAAGAAGTATAACAATATTTAATATAGCATATGATTCAAAAAAGACCAATGATGATGAAAGATAAAAGTGAAAGGATACAAAGTATATTTTTATTTGAAAATAAAGTCATTCAAATATATTATATGAGGTATGTTTTTCGAAGCTCATTAGGAAAAAAATAATCAATACTGAATTGCTGTATTTTTAGTAAAAATATTATTCTAATTTACTTTTTTAATGCTGGTTTTTCCCATAAATTCAAACCAGTTGATATTGTTCTATTAATATTGTGAGCATCACAAGAAAATCTTATTCCAAATTCAGATGATGATGTAGCAGATTTGATGTCAGAGCCATTATCAGTTGTTATAGAAAAAATTTTTGATTCAATGTTTAATTTTTTAATTTCATTAAGAATAAATTTTTTTAATCGAGAAGCTAAGTGACGACCACGAAAGCTTCGAAAAGATATAACATTTGAAAATGTTTGATAATTTTCATCGTAATAATGAGCAGTTATGACTAAGAAATGGTTTCGTCGAGAATTCATCCAGAGATCTGTTGTTAAAGATATAAATGGAATTGTTTTGAATTTCTCTTTCAATGAAGATCTTCGCTCTTGATACATTGTATCTAAATGCTTGCGAACCGTTTGCCTGGTTGGACCACGGTAACCAGATTTAATTGTATTGAGAAAACGCTGCATACCGGGACGACGAAATGTTCCGAAAGGTAAACCATCTATTACTATACATTCTATAGCAGCTGTATCAAGTTCTTTCTTCAAATGTGGTAAAATAGAATCTTTCTTTTCATGATTTTCTCGTTGTTTCACTTGAGATGGATATAAATATGAATATAAACCATGCATGAAGCCAAGATGACTTCGTAAATTGCTATCCGAAAATTGATTGTATTTATAATCCTGAACAAGAGAAATAATAAATAGTAAATAAAATACAAATAAAAAAAGATTATAAGAGACTAATTAATTTTTCTTTTACACCACTCTCAAACATTTCATCACTGTTTGCTAAAGAAGATTATTTAGGTTTAATTGAACTGTAAAATACTTTTACATTCGAATTTTCAATTAGTAAACAAAAAAAAAATCTTCTTACACGAAAACAAGTGGAACATTTGACTTTGTTAGTACCAGTAACGAATGTAAAATATTCAATTGGTTGCTTTTGTAAGTTTTTCTTGTTGTTGGAATTTCCAACGATAATAGTATCAGCACTAGCACTTGATATATTAAGAACATTTTGCTCTTCATCTTCATGGTTTTCAGATGCATTTAAATTATCAATATCTTCATTATTTGAATATTCCATTTCGAAATGTAAATCAGTACCATTTTCTTTTTGTTTTCTTCTTGGTTTTGGTGTTCTTTTAGATGATCTTCTTGGACCTTGAGAAACAGTTTTTTTTGTAATTCCACCTCGAACGCTGGATTGATGTCGTGCACTTGGAACTTCCTTTGAACTAATTCTGGATGAACTTCTATGACTTGATACGATCATATCATGATTATCAGATGACGATGATAATTTTTCATTAGTAATATTACGATTCATTATTTTTTGAAAATAATCAATATGTTTGTTGAAATGTGTTTCAATTGTATTTTATCTCGTTCACAAATAATTATATATATTCGATATCAACCTCGAAAATAGTCACAACGGTTTTTCTATATTTTTTTTTCTTTCATTGACGGGCGTATACAAATTACGTTCATTAAGTAAATAGATTGTATACATCTCTCTCTCTTTCTCTCTCTCATTCTTTTTCCTCATTTACATACAGTGCACTTGATGCACTATACATGAATGTATATTATTTTTTCACATATTGAATTATCTGTGTAATAAATATATTACTAACTGCATACTATAAGCATTTATTTATGCAAAAGTGCAGAGAACAGAAAATAAAGTTGTTCATATCAAAATACTAGTTAAGAATACAAGAATACATATTAAATATAGAAATAAATATTAAATATAAGAATAAATATCAAATATAAGAATGACGATAATTGCAGGTATAGAAGCAATTATCACATTGAACAATTTTATATCTATTATCTATAATAAACTAAACGTGAAAATTTTGATTCAATTTTAGGTTGACTAAGTAAATAAATGAATTCTAAACTACACTTATCTAATCAAGCTCAGATGATGATATAAATACTCTTTTTTTTCATATACAAGCAATGGTCGATATTGTACTATATAGAATATAAATATTCAACAGTCTGTGCTTATGACTTTGAGATGTATTTTATCATCTTTTTGTTATTTAATTAGATTCAGATCTAGTCTGAGATCTAAAACTTATGTATAGATGAAGAAAATGTTAAAACAAAATAGTCAATCAACTGTAACAAAACTATCTTTTAAAAATGAAGCAATTTTGTTATTGATTATTGTTACTAGCACTTCATCTGTGCTATAATTCACGGATTGTTATAAGAGGAAATTATTTATTTTGCTGTAGTTTACAAAATTTATACTTTATTCTTCATTTTTTCAAATTTAAAAAAAATCATACTTTATTCTTTATTTTAACTTTATTTTCATAAATAAAGATTAACTTTATCTTTATTTTATAAAAATAAAGATTTACTTTATTTCTTTATCTTTATTTTTAAAATAAAGATTATCTTTATTCTTTATAAAATAAAGATAAAGTGAATCTTTATCTTTATTTTATAAAGTAAAGATAAAGTAACACCCCTACTCTCTTATAGTTCTTGTCCTTGCTATTCTACAATAAACATTGAATCCATAATTCTACACAAACGTACAATATTCAGTGCTTATTTCATATTTTCCACAATCTCCCACATTTGTCAAGAGAGAATCATATATTGACGGCGTCTTATAAATTACAAAATTCATTGTACATTCTCTTTTCTTGTTTGTATTTAAGATTTACTTTTTAGATAATACCGTGCAACATTTTACAAAGAAAACTTTTCTAAATATAAATGATAACAATATTATTGGTACTGCAACGTCAGTAGCGGCAGCAATGAAGAAATACAATCATCTTTTTGGTTTAGGTGATATTTTATATTGGAAGTATGAATATGAAAAAGCCAAAGAACATTTCCAGATACTTTTAAATCAATTATTAATAACTCTTACCCAGGACGATGGTTCCTGAAGCAGGATTCCATAAATTTCCGGCGAAATCCCTGAAGAAACTCGCCATTTCTGGGTGGAATCCGCCCGGAAAATGCCAGGAATCCGATGGAGAAGTTAAGTAACCGTATCCGGCTGTCGGTTCCGATCTAAACCAGATAAATCCGATCACCGGATCTGCTCAACTGCAATACTGCTTCCATGAAATCTCCGGAATACTACGGAACCGGCCGTTTCCGTGCCGGATTGTTCGACCTGGATAATGAATCAGCTCGATTTTATAATTCACTTGGTGCAATCAATGCTGAATTATAAAATTATGAAGAAGCATTAGATAATTATCACAAACAGCTTGATATATTGCTAAAACTGGAAGCATCAGAGAAGATAACGAATGATATTATAAAATGTTATATGTCAATCGGAAAGGTCTATTGTTTAAAACTAGATTATGTGTAAACTATTAACCTCGATTACTTTTGATCAAACTTTATAGAAATCATTTTTTTTCGTAAAAATCGCTTTTTTTTTTATTATAAAAATAAACCTTAAAAAAATCTAAAAAAACTAAGATATAAGTGTCGATTTAGAGAAGAGACATCGACACCCACATTTACATACCATTCTCAATACTTCGTTATTTAAAATTCAAATAATTATTCAACAATTCTTTTGTTTTTCATTATGGAGTGACGAATTGAATTTAATAATTATGTTTCGTTTGATTAATATGATTGAATAAATTTTTAAATCTACACTATATACTTTAGTTTTTATTTTAGAAAAATAAATACATGTCTAAACAGAAAAATATTGAACATAAATGGATTTTGTTGGTGCACAAGACAAAACAAGAAAACATCAAGCACCGTAATACTAAAATAGTTTCTATATATATAGGTATTGTTTTTCTATTGAGCTGACATTTGGAATTGACTAGTCCACCAAGATTCAATATCTTTTCGTCCATTGCTAAAATGACCTGTTTGCCAAGAACGCCATGGATATGATTCATCAGTACTTAAAGTTAAACTAATATTCTGTTGTAATTGTTGTGGTTGTCCTTGACGTTTTGATGTTTTAGTTTCAGTTGGTAGATCACGTGTGCCTGATTGTGTTCGATAATGAGAATTCTAAAAAAATACAAGAATATTTAAATTAATGTCAAAATAGATTTCATACGTTTGTATCAATTGAAGGTGTTGGTAATGTAATTGTTCTATCAAGTTTTTTCTTTGTCGATGCTTCTTTTTGTAATTGTTGTTGACGATCATCAACATTTTTAGTTCGTCGTTCCTCACTACCGGCACTGTCTGTTGTTGATGTCTTTTTCAATGTTTCATTTGTTGTTATAGCTTGTGCTTCACGAAAAAATGCTAATTCATTACTACGTTGTAAATTTTTAATCACATTTGTTTGATCCTTAGCTTTAATACGTTTTAAACATCGATTAAGCCAATTACGAATAGTTATTTTTGCAACTTCTTCTTCAATTAAATATTCAAGTTCTTCACGTGCAAGTAATTCTTCAAATTGTAATGATTTACGAATATCAACTGAACGATATGCTAACATACTAAAAGTAAACAATAAATTTATCATAAACAAAAATAATTCAATATATTTACTTGAGTACATCATGAAATGTAACATCACTACCATTATTTAATTTTTCAATTTCATAACACATATGTCGATAAAGTTTTTCTGCATCTACTTCTAATCGTCCCTATAAAATATAAGTAAGTTAATTCTAGCTGACAATATTCTTCGAAAAAAAAATATGTAATATTTACTCGAAGTAATCGTAATAAAAATTTAACACGTCGAGCTGGTATAACACCTTTACGTGCCGTATCAATCATATTCCAAACAGTTTGAAAATGTCGAATATCTGTATAACTAAGTAATGCATCTTCTTCATTGGAATAAAATAATGAAAAATTCTCCATAATAATAGCCACAAGAAGATTCAATACAATATAAGTAATTATTATATAAAATGAACAAAAATAAAGTATTGATGCTGTTGAATTTCCACAATCACTTTCCCAATATGATATACCACGTGTACATCGTGGTGGTACAACCATACAATCATGCATGATTTTATTCCAATCTTCACCGGTTACAATTCTCATGAGAAGAACAATTGCATTAGGTACTGTTTTAAAATTAGCATGTCGTCCAAGTTCAGGACCAAATTTAACACAACCAAATAGAATAACACCCGCAAATGCATATACTAACATCAATAGAAACATGCCAAGAATAATAAAAAATGATTTAAAAAATGATACAATAATAGTTAACATAAGCATTTTAAGTGTTGCCTAAAAAAACGAATGATACATATATATTTTTAAAGAAACATTTTATTTTACATGTTTTCCGGCGATAGTAAAAAATCGAAGTATAATTACTGTAAACCCAAATGTATTACTAAATTCTTGCTAAATAAAGTAAAAAAAAAGCAAAACTATACCCTCAAGAATAAATTTCTTTTCTTACCAGATCAGTTTTTCCAATTGATATAACATTTAATATAATCCAAGCAATTCCTAATATAGTTACTAATAAATCAAATCTATTACGACGTGATTGCCAATAACCAACAAAACCTAATGCAATACATTTCATAACAGCTTCAACAAGAAATAAAAATGTAAATAAAGATGATATTAATGCAGATATTTGTGTTATTTGTTCATTGACTTTCCATGGTTTATAAAGTAATGCACAATTAAGTAAAACAAGTACAGCAGAAGATTTTTTAAATAATTTATTTTGTGTTATATCGAATACATAAGAACGAAATTTACTATTTTCTGGTCGAGGTGGTGTACGTAATGGTTGAGCAAGTTTTATACGACCTTTTAAATCTAACCAACGACGTTGATCAACAGTTAACAAAGCTGTTCCTTTATTTTCGGAATAATTTGCAATAACAACACCAACAAATAATGTTAAACCAATTAAAGTTCCAATAAATACAAATATATGAACAAAAATAGCATGTTGCTAAAAACGAGTTCGATTTAATATTTTTTCAAAAAAACAATGAATACATACTGGTCCCATACGATCCATAATAATATCACGAATTTCTAACCATCCTTCAAGTGATAAAACTTCAAATAAAGCTAACATTGCACTACCAATATAATCAAAATCAAAATTATGTGGATTTGCCCTAAAACAAAATTTTGAATAAAAAATATTTGAATGTCTAATTACTTACCATACTCTTGGTACTAACATAACTGGATCAGCTCCACTAACATTCATTTTTGATACAAAAAGTTCTCTCCAAAATGTTCCATGACATGCTTTCTACAATGAATTGTTTCAAACAAAATAATTATCTAAAAATCTTTCTTTTATATATACTTGTTCATTATAATAAGTTCGATCATTACAACGAGCTAATTGTCCACCAATTATTTGAATACCATAAATAGCAAATATAAACATTAATACAACAAGTAAAATAGATACCTAAATGATATTTTTTTTTATTTTCTTTTTTGATAATCAAAATAGTTTCATACCAATAGAATTTCTTTGAAACCACGACAAACTTCATAAACAACTTTTCTCATATCAGGTACAAGAATAATAATACGTAATGGTCGTGTTGATCGAAGAAGCATTAAAAATTGTCCAACACTATTAGCTGGTACATGTCGTGGCAACCAACAAAGAAAAATAAGACTAACAAAAAAAACTGCTACTTCAATAGCACCACTAATATCTCGGACTAGTGCTTTTGGTGTAAAAAATAAACCATGAGCAAATATTTTCAATGTTAATTCAACACTCATACAAATAACAAATATATATTCAGCTATCTGTAAGAATGGATGATCAACGACTCGATTAATTGGTGTTTCAAATGACATACTAACTGCTGATACAATAGTAACAATAATCATAATCCAATCAAGATATGTTACTAAACCAAGAAATTTACTACAAACAAAAAAACAAAAAACTATGTAATTATGAAATTTTCTAATATTATAAACTTACTGTCCTTGTTTATATCGACTTATTTTTGAATCTTGTCCAAGACGATCTTTGGCATTAATATCATATCGAGCTTCAACAACAAGTTGACAAAATTTACGAAAATTACTTTCACGTGATATTGTAAATAAAGGTGTATCAAAATAAGGATGATTTTCACGAAGATCTTCTTCTTGTTGATTTCTACAATAAGAATGAAAATAAAAAAATTTTTATTTCAAAATTTCAAAATCAACCGTTTTAATTCTGCTTGTTGTTTACGATATTGAAATACTTTTATATCATAATCATCTTGTATTCGACCTTGCAATGCACTAATATCACCATTTTCACGTACAACATGCACTGGTTTTGGTCGAAAACCTGAACGACGCATTGAATTCCTATTCATACATGAATTTTAATTATTTGTTTTCAAATAGAAAATTTTGTCATACTTTCGATCAAGACGTATTTTATTTTGTTGAACATAAACTGATAATTTTTGATCACCCATACTTGCCAAATGTACTTGACTAGCATCACCACTTAATAAACGTTGACTACTTACATTTCTAAATGAATATATATATACTGAATGATAAATCTCTACTTTTTCAAAAATAAAACAAACCGAATTATATTTGATACAGCTGTTCGTTTCATACTTTCACCTGTTGGTCGATGTTCAGGTATATGTAATGTTCTAACTGGATGCTTTTTACTATACAAATTTGTTGAAAGTTCAAGTGGAATTGTATAAATATCATCTTGATCAAGAAATTGTCGCATAAAACTATCACGAATTTTCGGTATAATAAAATCATTTGGTAAACGTGATAATTCAATCATTTGAGGATGATCAGGAAAACGTTCAAATACACGTAGACGCCACGGTAATTTTTGTTGAGTTTCAGCACTTGCTTCACGTGTTTTTAACTACAAAAAATTAATTTTAAAATAAATCATTCGAATAGAACTTCACATACTTGTTTAACCATTTTAACATCTTCTTCAAGTTCAAGATTGTCCAAAATAACAGCAACGAAAAGTGAAAGTACAATCTATTTTTAAATAATAAAACAAAAAAAAGTTTCTTTCAAATATCAAATCATAACAATAATAAAGCAGAGGCAAACACAACACGAATTCATACCAAATTAATAGCAAGATGATAAACAATAAAATAAATAGCAACAAATGGTGCTACATCTTGTATACTATATAACATTGTATAATGCATAACATCAACCCATCCTTTTTGTGTTAAAACTTGAAACATTGATATAAATGCCTATATGAAAGCAACTTCATCACAAATGCATTTTAAAAAAAAATCAAAAGAAAAATGCTTTTCTCACTCATGCTCTCATGCTTAAGATCTTACAGGGAACATACGACAACTTACAGAATTCGTTATTAAATGGAAAAATATAAAGAAAAGTGCCGTAAGCCATAAAATAGGAATTCCAAATCTATAAACTTCATTCATTGTTGTATACATTACTTCAGTCCAACCATCATTCATAGCAATACGAAATATAGACATATATGCCTGAGAATGTTTATTTTTTTGCTTATGATTGAAAAAAACAACAACATAGAAATAATCTCGACTTACTCGAGGAAATGTTTCGAATTGTTTTAAATTTGAAATAAAACAAAATAATTGCATACTAATGGATGATGTTATTAAAAGTAAACACATTGTAAATAAAATTAAACTACCAAGTTTTTTTCCAGGACCAAATATCTAAATAATTGAAATATGTTTTTTTGTTGTTAAGATAAAATAAGGATTTACTTTATTAAGAAAAGTTTCTAGTAAAGGACTTGATTTAAGTAAACGAGCAACACGAAGAACTTGAAAATAAGTAAGAAATGCACTTCGATAAAGCATTGGTATACAATGAAGTGTTGTTCCAATCGCAAGCATTAATTCAAATTTAAATATTGATCTTCGAATATAATTTTTAAAACCAATTGTAAATATTTTAAAAATTGTTTCCACATCAAAAAATATAGTAAATAAAGTCTAAACACAAAAAAAGTATTTATTTAAAAATTAAATATTTTTTTTTTGCTTTTTATTTTACTTCGATTGTATGATAAATTTTTAGATTTCTTTCATCAATTGCTTCATTATGTGTATGTTTAATAGTAGCTGTAAAAATTGTATTAGCAAGTACAGCAACCATAACAACTGTTGTAAAAATTGGTGATTGAATAATTTTTACAAAGATAGCAGGTGCAACGCCTGCTTTTTTATTTTCATCAATATTAACTAATTTTAAAGTATTATCATCAACTCGTTGAAGTATCTAAATAAAATATTTAGTGAGAAGAAAAAAAAAGAAATTTTAATTTACTTTTGTCGATGCAATATCTGATGGTGCTGCACGCACACCCCACATCTGTTGAAATTGAACACGAATTTCTGCAAATGTTTCAATAATAACGGCAATAAAGACATTCTAAAATTATTTTTTTATATTTTTGATTCAATTAAAAATAAAAATGATTTACTTTAACAAGCCATGCAAGAAAAAAAATCATTGTAATAAAATAAAAAAATGCTCGCCATGATGGAAGACTATCGATAGCTCGATACATTAAAAATACCCAACCTTCTTGACTAGCAGATTCATAGACGGAAAAGAAACTTGTTGCTAATTCATCAAAACCATTATAACCACGTAGACTACGTTGAATTTCAATTTTTTTACATATAAAATGTTCGGGACAATGAAAGCCATCTTTAGTTGGTGAACAATATGTATCAGGAATCATTAAATCAAATTTTGTAACATTACTTACAAAAAGAAATTCATTTTATATATATAATAAAAAAAATATTATCTTACTTTATATCTGTAGCATGTCGAACACAATGATATGTAAGTGATCCAAAAAATTGTACACCCAATATAGCATATAAACTCATAAAGAATAAAAAAAACATTGTTACATTATATATTTGAGAACTTGAACGTCTGTATAGAGCAAACAAATAAAAAAAGAAATATAATGAATGGTATCAAAAATTAATATTACTGGAGAATAGATTTAATCTGGCTTTTAGGTAATTCAAATTGGAGAAATGTTTTAAGTACTTTAATAAGAATGAATGGACGTGGTGCTCGAATAATTGTAAAATATGTAGATTTATTTACAAAACCAACTAATTCTAAAGTCTATCAAAAAAAATAATAATAAAACATGAGACAATAACAATATTTATAATATAAATATTACTTGTAATAAGATAGAACAATAAATACATAAAACCATAATCGCATCAAAATGATTCCATCGATCACGTAAATAAGCTGATTCACCTACTAATACTCCTCTTGCTTTCATTTTAGCTGCTGCTTCAATTGATAATATAATTACACAGATAATATCAATAATATATGTAACATATTGTAGGGATGGATGATATTCAAATGTTTTGGGTGTATTCATACATGTGGTAATAAAACTTAATAGACCAGTAAGACGATATATATATTTTACTACTGGTTTATTTAACCATTCAAGATTGGCACCTGATGTATCTTCTTGATTATAGTCCATTAATGGAACAAAATCGCCGCGAAAACTCTGCTTTCTCATCAATGTTATCATTGATGAAATGGCAGCGCCAGCCGATGAGGCTGCAGCTGCCATTCTATATATCTATAATATGTCTCTACAAGAAAAAGAAAACACAAATCTTGACTGATTGATTATAAGTAATATATATATATACAAGACAAGAGAGAGATAATCGGCAAACCGAATTATACACGTTCCACTGCAATCATACAATTAATATATATATATATATATATATTACATATATACATGCACACATACACTTGTATATATAAATATATGTCAAGAAAAGAGAACAAATTCAACTGTCTGTTTTTACTAATGTCTATTCTTAGAATTGTGCTCGTTGAGCGTTACGGAAATATAAAATGCATATAACTTTTTTCTTCTCAAATCGAATGGCATAAGCTGTCGTCGTTATTTGACAGCTATAAAAGACGAAGATGACATCTTTTTTGCCTCATTCACTATTCCACATTCACTTTCTATTAAGTCTTTTACAAACAAGAAATATTGCGTATACAGGATAGTTTTCGTCTTCTTTATCGATTGATTTTCCCCCCTTTTTCTCTCTCTCTCTCCCTCTCCTTTCACGATCCTTTCTTCTTTTTTTTTCTCCTATCTTTTCCCTTAATCTAGTCCATTGGGACACTATATTTCATAGGATGATGTATGCAAGTACACGAGGGAAAATTTGAAATGGAATCTTTATATATTGGCTGACAGGAAACGAAATATCGTAATACACAACAATATGCAGTTTATACACGTAAAGTACACTATAAAAAAAAGTATGGTTAATATAATAATTTTATCTCATAGCGAAAGAAGTTAACAAAAACAACAACAACATTCGATATACATCAAGAACATCTCCATTCCTACTTATGCCTATGATTCATGATGTTTGCGTGCTGTCTTTCATTACCTACTCACAATATAAATATATATATATATGAGAGCACATGAATCAACTGGAATAGAATTACAAGTCATCATAGTCTTGTATTGTTTTTCTACATCACATAAACCATATATACTAATGATTTTTTTGTGATTGTTCGATAATTGTTATTGCTATTGACTATTTCTATATATTCATTGAAGAAAAAAAAAAGTTTAGAAAAAAAAGATTAAGATAGCAACAGTGACTCTAAGCCTGTCGTTTTATACAAATAATTAATAAACACACACACACACACACACTATACTATATATATATATACTCGACTACACTTAATGACGATAGTGAACGTCTTATGAAAAAAAAGAAGAAAGGGAGAGAGGCGAAAGAATAACGAAGAGTGTTAATTTTACTTGCTACTTCTCTTTGCCTGTTGTTATCCGGAACGTGTTGCTCGTTTAAAAGAAGAAGGGAAAAGCTGGTGATGAACAACCAATACACACACACACACACATCTATAACAGACAGTAGCAACTATCTTTTTATCGTCATTTCTATCCACCCGTGATGTTAGTAATAGAAGCATTACAACCACAAGAGATGTCTGTGTGTGAACGTGCATGCAAGTAACAGAAAACGCAATAAGACCAGTCAGTCTTCTTCTTCTTTACCACTAGTAGTGATGGCAATTATGCGACGATAGCGTTGAAAGAACAGCGAGAACACGAGAACGACAGAGATTGTATCTGAGTAGAAGTAACAGAGTTGCATGAAGATGTAAAAAGCAGAGAGAAAGACTAAGCAAAAAAAAATCTATCTGTCTCTTGTGGCACAAAGTTTTATACGGATCTAAAAAATAGATAGAGGGGAAAACAACACAAGTAGATAGTCATACTTTGATGTGATAGGATAATACGATTTTTTCTTTATTTCAATGACTAGTAGCAAGGTTGATTCATGTTGAGCTTTCCATCTTTTCCTCATCTTCCTTCCTGTTTGCACTATGCAAAACATTATTGCTATTCTAAATAGTATATGATTGTACTTGAATAATTTGAATTAACCATGCTAAAAGCAATTACTTACTATCTATACTGTTCGTATCTGTTCTCTGTTTTTTATATAAATAAAAGAGCATAGTCTCAGGAAATGGATACTTCCATTCACACATTAATAACAGATATATATATATATATGCCTACCGGTCATTCTATATTGCATGAATACGGTGTTTCGAAACTCAATTTATATAGAAAAAAAAAATTTAATATTGAAAAACTTCTATAGTGCACTTGTTGCATTGTTCTTTACGTGTATTATTCATCTATTCTATTGTTCAACAAATCATCTATGTTAGTTGTAGTCGGGTTACGTGTCGGCAATTAACGAGACCGAGAAAAGAAAAGAAGGAAATATGCATCGATCATTTTCCTTTTGTCGGTGATAGTAACCCGGGAGTCAATGCTAAATATAACAAAAAAAAAACCAATTCTTTAAGCCTGCTTAATATTATATTGAATGGAATGTATCCGACATTATTTTGTTTATTGAAAGGAATTACTAAATAAATGTACAGAATAATCATGTCTCATTATCATCTTTTACAATGAGATCTATCAATAGTAATTAGTGTTAAAAATAATTCAGGAAGAAACTATATAAATTCATATATATATATATATTCCAGTGCCCTCTACGTTTTATATCTGATGAATGGCATTTTGTTCACCAACAATTAAATATTAAACGAAAGAGAATGAATGAATGAATGAATAAAGAATGAAATATATACTTTACTTATATATATTATCTTATTCGACGTTTAGAAAATAACTGATCAGTCCGATACGAAGAGAAAAGAAAAATTCATGTAATATGATCGTCAGTTTTTATGTGAATTAGTTTAGATTAATCCATCGTTAAGTTGTCAATTTAATAGAGTTCTTTTTTCATCTAGATTTTGTATATATTATATAGAAGAATGCGATGTATAGCTGCGAATCGATCTGTTCTTACAACATTAGATCAAAATGCTACACTTCCTGATGCTTATGATAGTAATGAAACAGCAACAACAAATGATATCGAATGTATGGATATCATACAATTTGCTGATGGTTGGTATTCCTATCCTGATCTTAATACATTTAACAGTGATTTACTTCTTGATACACTTACAATTCGAGTAAATTACCTTTTTATTTTATCATTTCATATATATGTATATATCATTTTCTGTAGCATATTAAACCAACAAAAGCCATATCTCCTTGGAACATTAAAGCAGACAATCCGACTGTTCTTCCATTGACTGAAATTGGTATGTGTTTTATTAATATATTGTCTTACAAAATATAATTATTCTATAGCAACTCGTCAACTTGAAGCACTATTCAATTTGTCACAATTGCTTTTCGGTTTAGCTCGAGCAGAACAATCAAATTATACATTTCGAGATCTTCAATTAAGTCAACATGCACAACAATTTCAACAAGCAGGATTTAAGAAATTTCGTAAGTATTATTTTTTGTTGTTTTGTCATAATTATTTTCTAGTATCAATATATTTTTAGCGAATAATCATAGATCTATTGATTTTTTTGTTATCTTTCAACTTGTTGTTAATGATGTTCTTAAATCAGGTGCTATTGATACTGTTTTTTTGATGTATAAGGATCCTCGTATACGATGTGTCAAACAAAAATGTCTTGATCTATTAAGTAATGTTGCAACTATACCTGAAGTTGCACGTATAATACTTGATCGTTATACGGGATTTCTTAATCAATTAATACAAGGTATTCGTGATGGTCATTTAATTGAAGAAAAAATTCCATCATTATCTGTACTTTTACGTTTATGTAAAGTAATTGTTGAGAAAAATTTAATTCAATCATATCAACATTTAATTGATATGCAATTTATTGATATTATTATTGATCTTTTTGAAAATAATGAATACAAATATTCAGATTATATTATTTATTTTATTAAATTTGAATCACTTGCTCTTCAATGTCTTCATATTATGTTACAATGTGCTGAACATGTTGATATGTGGTCAGAAAGTATGTGACGAAGAAAAAAAGAAAGATATTATTTTATTTATATATTTATAGAAGCTCAAATTCGTATAGTAAATTATTGTTGTACATTATTACATAAATCTGTCTTAGATGATGATGATCATCATAAAAATCATCGTCATCAAAAACGTATTGAATCAAATCATCTTGTTTATGCTGAACAACATTCAATTGTTCATTCACTTAGTTATGCTCTATTAACATTTTTAAGTGTTGTTCGATGTCGAAAAGAAATTGGAGCATTCTACCGTGAAAATGAACATTTTAGAGAATTACTTAGTGCAATGAGACATAAATATGGTCCACGAAGTGAATTTATATCTCGTGATCCAACAATATCAAATGCACTTAATCAAGTTGCTAATGTTATGTTTGATCGACATCAACGAAAAAAACGACGACATCATCAACAACATCATCATCATTATAATCAACGACAATCAGAAGTAATCGATGTGAAACAATATTCACATGATCCATTTCAAGATGAAGATGAAGAAAATGATGAAAATCGACAATATCGAAAATGTTCAAATTCTTTATGTCAAATCATTGAAAATGATGTAAGTGTTATATTCAAAAAAAAAGATATTTTAATTTTTCTATATTTCTTTTGTTTGAATTAAAGCAAGTTAAATTTCAAAATTGTCCTCATTGTCATAAATTATCCTATTGTAGTCAATATTGTCGTGAAGTTCATTGGACACTTAATCATAATATATCATGTCGATCTATTTATAATAATGAAAAGAAAGAAGAAGATTCAACTGTATTATGTATGACTGATCGATTTTCTGAAACATTACCACAACCATATCAAGCAAATAATACAGTGTCGATGTCACACAACTCGGCATTTGAAACTTTACCCGTACAAATATCACAGCCAGTCATTGAAGCAACAGCCGAGATTACAAATGAGCTGTGCTATCCATCTGCATCATCATTACCTTCTACAACTGTTAAAAAGAAGTCGTTTAAAACATTATTCTCACTTCTTCGTGTTGGTGGTAGTAAACGACGATAAATAATATTCAAAACAATCTCTCAATTATTATTTTAGTAATCTCTCAGCATGACTGTGTTTATTTTTGTTTTATCTGAATTGTATCTATTTGATGATTGACAAATAGACATTGTCTTATTCGCTATTTGTATTTAATTGAAAAGATAGAAAGTAAACTAATTTTTACTTGTATATATAATGAAGAAGAAAAAAAAGAATTTAATAATTACCATAGAATTTATCTATCCTTTAATTAAACGTTTTTTAGTGTAATAATGATGTTAGGTCGGAATAGAGAAGAAACACGTAGGAAAAACATTTGATGTAAAAAATGATGGTTATTACGAAGTATAATAAATATTCTACTTACAGATAATAGATGGCTGGTGCATAGCAATAAAACTTTACCATATTGTGTATAATGAAAGGTTAAAATCTCATTTGAAAGTTTGCCTGTGGAAGTCATCAGTCATGTTAATATAATTGAATTAACTTCAAGCAATCGAGTCTTTGTAGTAAATTGAATAGCATCTATTTTTTATCATTCATCTTCGAATTTTAACAAAGCTGTCATAAGTAAGTGGCATTCTGAATAGAGCTCTTGAAATACAATAGGTTTAATTAAGATCATTTCCTCATATTGATATAATTCCTATTCAAACAAAAGATTAAAATAAAAACTTTTTTTCTTTTCAAGTATAATTTAATAAAAAAAATTTAATATTTAAAATTACTTCATTACTTTATTTCAATGGAAATATTCATCACATGTATAATTGGTGGAATTCTTAATCTAATTATTTTTATAACAGTTAAATCATTTTGACAAACAAGATGTGCTTTCTTTTTAATTATTACTTCATTTGTTAATATTGGTCAATTACTAACAACACCATTTATTTTTGGTCTTGGTTTTGTAAATTTCGTATTTTTTTAGCACAATGGAGTATTTTTATTTCACTTTCAAGTATATGTTTAGCAACTATTGATCAATTCTTATCTAGAAGTAAATATCGACATTGGAATAATTTACGATTAGCTAACTATTCTATTATTATTATTTGTATTCATCTATTTTGATGTATCTAATGATTTATGTAGAATTATTAATTCAATTTTTGCAAAATATGTATCCTATTTTCAATTTCCAGTCTTGTTTGGTTGTTTACCAATTATTACCATGATTCTATTTTCTATATTAGCTTTTATTAATGCTCGTACAATAACTAGTCGCCAAACAATTATTATACGATTACGACGAGATCGTCATGATTTTTTATATTTATTAACTAAATCAAAATAATTTATATCCGGAAATTATTGCATATCATCAATTTGTAAATACAATTACAGTTTTATTAGCTTTTTCAAGTTTTTCAGTCAGTATATTATTTATGATATTAAATAATTCTACATTTTATATATATTGTTGTGTTTCAAGATGTTTTCGTAAACAATTAGTCTATGTATCAATCAATATTTGGATAAAACAATGGCTCAATAAACAACATAATAATATAATTACACCTAGTTTTAATAAAGAATTTGAAGGGCGATCAACAAACTGAACACCCGTCTTCGTCGTAACTATTTCACTACCTCAAATAACAATCTAAATGTTGTTACTGAGAAAAAAAACTACTGCTAATTTTTTGAGACATATACTCATTAAATATGAGCCTGAAGTATTAAATATATACATAAATATTCAATGATATAATATTGTGTTACATCTATGAATTTATTCTATTTGCTTCTCATATGCTATTCTTATTTAATGATTGTCAGACAAATTTTATCTAGATGTATTTACATGATATCGAACATATAAAGAAACAAAAAGAAAAATTTTTAATTATAATATTGTACTAATTGGATCATTGTATGCTGATGTTGATGATCTTTGAAGTTGTTGAGTATCACTCTTTCTTTCCATCGCTGTTGTTAAACTTCGACCAATAAAACTTAAATAACGTCCAGTTAATGCAACAAGATCTTGAGCCTAAACAGAATAATTTTCTTATAATATAGTAAATATTCTAATTTTCAATTTACTCTATCAACTTGACATTGAAGTATATGAGGTTGATTTAAGCTACCATATTTAATATCAATTGCATTTTGATGTCGACGAATTGAAACAACATCATTATATGGTATTGTAAAAAGTGTTTCCTAAAAATTAAATTTCAAAATAATATAACGATTTCTTAAATAGATTTAATTAATTTACTCGTGTATCAATATCAAGAAACAATATACCGTTTTTACAAATACCAATTAAACAAGGTGATCGAATCGATGGTTCATCAACTGACTAGAAAAATAAATATAAATGTATATTAATCAATCAGTCGAATGATTACAAACTTGACAAGCAAAAAATGTCATGCCAAATAAAGGCCATGTTTGTATAATATCTAAATAGAAAATAGAATATATATTTAAATAGAAAAAAAAAACAAATTTACTTAGAAATTTTATTTTCGCTTCAATTGCTGTTAATGATTCAACAGATGAATAGAGTTTTTCATGAACAGTTGTTGTCCAAATTTGTGGACGAACACTTTTTAATTTTAAAACACTTGTTGGAAGAAGATGTTTTACTTCTCGCCTATGAAATAAAAACAATTCAAAATATTAAAACAAAATTTTCTGAACATACATTGAAGGTAAACCAATTTTATTTGCTGCATGATACTGAAGAGCAGCCATAAATGAAATTTGTTGCTATAATAATTACAGAATTAATATTAAATTTATAAGAATTTTTCATTTCATTTATACCATAAGTTCATCGGAAAAATGATTATTTTTTATAATAATCATTGTACCTTCAAGTAATTCAGGTACAAGTTGATGATACATAAAATCAATGAAAATATCCGATTTATTATCATCAAATATCATTGGAATAGTAAACCAAAGCATACGTTTAATAATTAAATGATAATCAGTCATATTCGATCGTACACATTCACTGAGAATATCAAAAAGATATTCAGTTGGATTTAATAAACGTGATGATTGTTCTATTTGTAATACAATAAATTCATACACTATAATAATAATAAGAAAGAAATAAGTTTACCTGAAGCACTAATAATAAAAATTGAATATTCATCATGTTCTAAACTATTCGATATATTAAATCGTTCACATAATTGACTGAGACAATCACCAATAACCTAAACAGAAAAAATATCACTGATTTTATAAGATTAATAAAGAATTTATTACCATTGATGGTGTTGTCAGCAAAGTTAATGGTGCACCACCTGGTAATAAAAATGTTTGACGTTTACCTCCATTTTTACCATTCTAAACAAAAAAATATTATTTCAGTATCAATAGAAAATATTCATACAGCTATAAGAAGATCGATTTCAGCTTTGCTTGGTGTATTTTTACGCCCACCGTATTTTAATGTTTGTTCATAATGATTTAAACATAATTGTACTAGAAACAAAAATACATTTATTCAATTATTATTTTTTGTTAAACTAAATTACCTAATTTTTCATTTTGATTTATATTATCATGGAGATATTTAACAAAATATGGTCGTAAATGTTGACTTGGAATGAAATAATTAAGTATAATAACAAGTAATTTCCATCCACATTGAACACTATCGGTTTTTATACTTTTATTATCTGTTAATTGTTTGATAAGTTGACATAATATTTCATCAATTAATGTTCGATGTTTATGCATATTCTATTAAAATGTAATTTTATTTAGTATTAACAAAAAAAAGATGAATAATACTTTTAACAAATAAAGTAAACAATCAAGATCAGTTTGGCCTCGGGACATTGCATGATCACCCATAAAACGCATAATTGCTAAATAAAAATTCATTTAATTGCAATAACCAGAAAAAGAAAAGAAAGTTTTACTGAGAAAACATTGTCGTGCAATACGATTTGAATCATTTGATGTATGATTTAGAAGTGATGATTGAATTGGATTCTATAAACATAAGAAAATGAATTAATCATAATACTAAATAAATTTACTTTTGTCCATTTAAGTAATTCCGCATAATCTTGCCATGTCCATTCTAATTAATAGACAAATAAAAATAAGAAATATTTCAATTAAGTATTACCTGAAGTTTTCCAATTTTTCTTTGATCGTCTATTTAAGAAAAAACAAACAAAATTTCATTTTAAAAGAAAAAAGTTTATTTTACCGTCTGTTTGGAAGTTTAAAATTTTGTAATGCAAATTCCATCATAGAATGTCCAGTTGGTAATGCAGATATTGTTGGTTTTGGTGTATGATTATCGAATGAAGCTGATGGAATAAGTTCACTAAATGTTTGACTACAACTTAATAAACTTGCTTGACTTGATGATTTCAATAAATCACTTGTATTTGATATTAAATTTGGTGAAAATTTATCTTGATGATTTTTCTATTTGAAAAATGAAAAATAAGAAGTACAGAAAATCAATATTTTTTATATAAACTTACATGATTAGACGTACGAGAATATTTAATAAAATCTATTCGTGATTCTCTTAAAAATTTATCGAACATTTGTTTTATTTTTTGAATCTAAATATAATGATGTATTTAGTTATTTCATATTTTTCTCTTAATTCAAATACCCGATGTGAATGAATAGTAATACGTTTTTTTGTTAGACGTAATTCAATTGATGAACCATTACGAATTGAAGAAATTTGTTGAATATTATCAAATGTAAATGTTTCAAGTACTTGTAATATATCACTTCTAGATTTTGTTCGACTTCGTTTAATAAATCGAACACCTGAATGTGATATTCCTAACATTTGTACTTCACCAGAACGATATTTCGGTATCTATTTTAATATAATATATATATACAGAAAAGGTTTTAATTAAGAAAATTAAACATACAGATATAGGAAAAAATCGACAAAAATATGTTGGCCATTGACGTCCTTGTTCAATAATCGCTTTTTTTGCTGATAGTTTATTTATTAAATCAATATCACCCATAACTGCGACACCATGTGAAGCTAAAATAAAAAATTATAATTTCATTTCAGAAGAAGATTGACTTTACATAGAAATGTTTTCATATTTGTTCGTTCAGCTTCTGTGATACGAATACATATTGATGAAAATGTATCATATACAATTTGTAAATATAATAAATCAATTACAATTGGTTGATCATATGTTTCCATTGGAGAAAAAACCTTAGAATATAATTCATATATATAATTTAATGTATCATAATTTTGTCAAACCTCTTTACGAATTTTTAATTTCCAGATAATATTATGATATGTTAAATAGTTAAGTGATTGTCTTGATGAAGGTTTACTTGTATTTATTGCTTCATTGAATGAAGGAATAGCATCTAGAAAAATATTTTGATCAATTCCTGAATTTAATGTGTTACTCCGAAAGATCTTTTTACCTGTAAATGATAATTCATCTGGATTTTCAAATAATTTTTTACGAAGTTCAAAATTTTCTTTTCCAATCCTAGAATAAGAACAGTAATAACAAATAAATTTGTTCATTTTTCTTTCAACAAACATTGGTGTCATTGTTTTATGAAAATCTAATTTTGATGATTGATTTCGAGCAACAATTTCATTTGTTGACATATCATCATCATCATCAATATTATCATTATTATTATTATTTTCAGATATTGGTGATATAAGATCAATTGATATATTTGTCATTGGAGATTTTTTACGTGGTTCATTTATTGTTGGTGATATAATTCTTTCTTGAGATTGTGCTCGTCGTTCATTAGGAATATTTTGATCAACAATCGTACGTTTTATATGATGAGCACTTTGTGAACGTTGACAATTATCTTGAGATTTTGATAAATGTTCATAAGTTGGATCATTAAAATTATTTGTAGGACGTATTTCATTTTTTATTGTTGTTTTATTACCATGAATTTCTTCTTGAATACGACGTTGTACAAGCATTCTTCTAAATAATATTTTAATACGATTTTGAAATTATTGAAGATAAACAAACCTTTGTTGATTCGCATTATCTGTTTCTTCTGGATTGAGCGGAGGTGGCCAACGGATTTTACCAATTCGTACTGTTTTAGCTCGTAGATTTTTATGAATTTCAGGAGAACGTCGAGTAAATATATGTGAAGGAACTTTAATAGCATGTCTATTCAATAACAATAATGAGAAATTTTTCGAAAATAAAAATCTTTTACTTATTATTATGGTTTACTGCATTTTGTTTGTAAATTTGTCCATTACTTGAAGATCTTACATCTAATTGTGACATTGAAAGACGTTCAACAGATATATTAGGTTTAGCTAGTATCGGTGATGATGGAATTGATTGAATATCAGCTTCATTTTCTTCAATTATTGTTGGTGTTTTTTTTGATGAAATAATTGGATTTGAAGATATTAATTGCGAAACAATATTCGTTGAACGAACTAAAAATTTCAATATTTAATTTTCAACTTTACTATTAAATAAAATAACTTACATGGCATTTCATCTGATTTTTTGACTTGATTATTAACATCTGTTGATTGTTTCAAGTAAACTGGTAGATATTTTTTACCACTAATATCAATAACGGGTACGAAAACAGGTCCATTTGATTTCGAATTTGACGTTGATGATGATGATGTTGTTGTTATTGATTGTTTTGAATTATTCACTGTTGATGTTGTTGTTGCAAAACATACATCAGGATTAATTGGAATAAGTTTTATATTCTTTTTATCCTGTGATTGTAGAAAATTATGTTCAATACCTGACGACTCCAGTGTGAAATAATTAATTATCTATATGAAATACACATCTAGAATATCAAGAAGACAAAATATATACAATGAAAATTTTTTTTATGTGTGCGAAAATTAAAATGCTACTGATTGTGGATAACTATAATTTACAAATTTCGAATGTTTTTCAAGAGAATATTCTTGTTTATCAAAATTAATAGTTGACATTTGTCGTAATCGATTGTATCCACGAGGACGAAGTTCATTTGATCGACGATCAAATACTTGATGTTTGGGTCCACGAATATATTTTGTATTATCATCAATATCTGTTTGACTTGAATAACCAACTTGTGGTAAAATAAATCGATTTTCATTTATAGATGATGTAAGACTATTGTTATTATTATTATTATTCATATTAATATTTGAATGTTCAGAATATTTCGGTTTTGTTTTCGTACGTTTTTTTCTTTCGGAATTTTCTTTTTCATTTTTAAGTTTTTTTTGATCATGAATATGAATTGGATGAGATATAGGACGAACTGAAGATTTTTTTTGTGTAGAATTTTTATGAAGTAAACTTGCTAAACCACGTCGACGTGTTGATTGTTCAACACGACTATTTGATATCATTTGTAAACGACGTTGATCAAGGGTTGATAATAATGTTTTTTTAGCTTTTTTCTTTCCTAAATTTTTTGGATCAAGTGCACGATCAAATAAATCATCAAGAAATGCTTCAACATCTGATTTATGACATGGTAATGGAAGATCAGTTATAGTAGCAATCGATTCAGAATCGAATCTAGAAAATAAAGAAGATGAAGAATGAATTTATTTTTTAGGTTATAATTTACATGGAATTTCCTTGTTTTTTAGCTTGAGGATAACCAAATTTTGGTCGTGTTGATTTATTTTTGATGAATCTAAAAAAATTAAAATAGCCTAGATTTAAGTTATTTTATCGTCTATATTAATTCCATTTTATATCGTTCTTCTGACAGTGTCTGATTATATGAAATCTATGCCTTACACACCCTCAAGATGGTTTTCTCCTTCCCCGGTTCGCAATAGCCTTGATTGTAAACAGTCATAACTTACTTTGTTCCTGGTTTAGAAATATTTTTTGCCGGTGATTCTCTCTTGATTTGTACATTTTCAGTTTCATAATCTGTTAAATCAGCTTGCATATCACCAATAATACCTCCATCTGAATAGGTACTTGATAGATGATATTCTTCATTATGATCATTCTAAAAAATATTCCTTTATAAAAACAAAATATAATTCATAATTTAATCATACAAATTTGGCTGTATGATGTATTGATGAACCTAAAAAAATTGATTTTAATATTTTATTGAAATTTAATATGAAATTTATCTTACCGATTTTTTCATATTGATTCGGAATTATTGGACCATCTGAACATACAGAAAATTCTCCATAGAATGAATTCGGATTATCTACACCACTATAATCACTAGAAAACAAAATTAGAACAAAAATTATTATATATACATATAAATTATTTCGAATACTAATTAATATCATTCATAACAAAGAATAAAATCAAGCAAAGTATTTCATGCAAATCTGATTTCATGCATCAGAAAACAAGCATTGTATATACAATATTGAATGTTTCTACCTAACAACAAGTGGCGGTGGTGGCAATGGCGATGCTTTATGAAATTTTTGTGTATGATGTTGTTTATGTGGACGAAAACAGCGAAGTGCAGGTATTTTAGATAGAATATGTCCACCACATCCTGGATCAACCATTGAATGAGATGATGATGTAAATGTATTTGTTTTACGTATTGATTCATTATGGTCAATAATTGGTAATTGAGATGATTTTAGTATTGTTCGATTTATTGTAGATTGTGTACGTTTTTCAGAAGGTTTTATTGAATCATTCTCATTCTTTATTAAATGTTCTTTACTTGATCTAGTTGATGATCGTACTGGTGGTAGTGGTGGTGTCTCTTGATGAAATGGTATATCTATACTATCAATTTTTCGAATAGAAATTTCGTCTTGTTGATCATCTGTTATTGAATATGCACTAGTTGCATCAGTTTTTAATAAATCTCTTGTTACGGATGGTGGTGGTGGAAATGATAAATGATCATCAGATATTTCTATTGATGATAATGATGAATGAGATTTTTTTTTCGTTATAGTAGGTACATCATGATAGAGTGGTGAATGACGTTTAATATATTTTCTTTCGATTTGTTGTTGATCATCACTACTAAAATGTTTCGGATATTTGTAGGGTGATGAACGATTTGATGATGATGTTCGACGACTAGTTTTTGATAAACGACTTGGACGTGAATTATCGATTTTTAAAAACCATTCTTTCGATCTATTAAGTTTGAGATATTTGATTTTTTTGTAAAATTATTATGATTATTTTATTTCGTATTTCTTATTTTTGCTATGAAAAGAAACCTACCTGGCTGTAGTACGATGATTACGTCGTCGTGAAGTTTTAGATGATCGATCACGACCATCATGAATAAGAAAAAATGATTTGCAAACAGGTGAACATGGTGGAATTTCTAATTCACCGACTAAATCAAGTACATAATCATGTCCCATTAATTCAATTTCATTTTCATCATCTTCTAATGATACAGTCCATCCAGAACAATAATCTTTTAATATACCACGTGATGATATTAATTCATATGCATATTGTTCACCTGTCATCCATGATTCAACTTCTCCCATAGCTTCATAATCTAATTGAAAAAAAATTAAGATAATCATTACAATTCTTGGGACTATGTTGATGTTTTAAAAAACTTATATTAAAAATAATTTTTATTACCATCAGAAAATTTTGCTTGAAGTGCCATCGACATTGAACGTTTATTTGCCGACCATTCTAATTGTGTAGGTGGATATGTTCTTGGTGCATCAGCAATACCTGCTGCTAATAATTTTCGTTTAGTCAAATCATTATTTATTTGTTTTTCTTCAGATATAAATCTATGAAACAAAAAAAACAAAGAAATAAATATACAAAAATTTGAAATAAATTACTGATATAAATATTTATAAAATTTTGATGATGGTGAAAAACAACTTATACAATTAAGCATTAAAAGCCACGCTTTATTTAATTTAATTAAATCAATATTATTCCATATCTGATTTATGATTTGAATTATAATTTCATCACGTAAAATTTCATTCATTAAACCCTTAAATAAATAATTTAAGTTGTTATTATTTTTCTCCGTTATTCAACATACCATTTGAACGATATAATCAGCTAATGCACGATCTCGTTTAATATCATGTTCTGATGTATTAACAAAACGCAGAATCTAAATTATTTAAATATTATAAAATCTTGTTTTTATTTTCTCCTACTAATTTAAATAAAGATAATGCTAATTGAATATGTTGTTGATTAGAAATATTATTTGTAAATGGTTCTTGAATTGGAATTAAGAAACGATCCCATTTTGTTCCAAACTAGAAGAAATTATTTAATAGACAACGCATCAGAACCAGAAAATAGATAGGGTTACTTACTCTGGTATTCTCTTGAATGTATTTTATGAACGATAATGTTTCTATATTATGTGATGGAAATAAATGTTGTCCACTTGGAATAACATTTGTAGCTCGTGAAATTTCAATAATATGTTGTTCATTATGTGGTTCTTGCCAAGCTAAAGAAAAATCAATTAATTGAAACAAAACGAAAATATTAAAAATTTATAAATACTATCTAAACGATTGAATACTAAATTCAATTCATTTGGTATTTCAAGTAGATTAAAATGTGTTGACTAAAAATAATAATTATAAATAATTTCATTTTATCTATAAAATTCTACCGAATATTCTTGAGACTTCGACGTTGTCGTTTGTCTAAATAATAAAAAAAAGATTAAATTACAAAAAAAACGAACGTGTTTTTATACTCGGATGATGAATGTAATGTTGAACTACTTCCTGTTATATGACTAATAGCTGTCGAAAGTGAAAAACAAGATGTAGCAGAAGTAGATGTTTCAGCTGATTCACATAATCTGATACTAAGACTTGTCGATTTTTCACTTGTTACATCGAAAGTAACATCAGGACTCATTGATATCATAGCTCGAGCTATAGATGTTCCTAAACTTGGTCGACGTTGAAATCGACCTATTGTGGGTGAACTTGTTACTTTCATTTATGAAATCAAACGATTAATTGATATAAGAAAAACTTATGATTTTTGTTTTTGATTTCCTATTGTCTCATTCATTCATTCAATCAAGTAATCCCTGTCTGACATTTAGTTAAATGATTATGATCGATTTGTAATTATGTTTATTATCGTTGAATAGTGTAAATATTTAGAATTGACTTACTTTTTCTTATCAATCCAACGACGATATTGTTTTTGAAGTATAAGAATTGCATGACGTTGTTTTTCGAAATTTTTTCGTTGAATATAACCTTTAATTGTACGTTGAATTGTTGTTGCTGCTTTATTTAATAAATATGAACGTTCTTTTTCAAGATGATACTCTAATGATTCACGCATAAATATCTAATTAAATAACAATAAGAATTTTTTCATAGAAATATTTATTTATCTTTACTTTTGTTATTCCTATTTGATATTTTAAAGTAAATTTTGTTGGTAAATTATTTAATATATGTATTGTAATTTCTTTTGAATCACTGTTATCAAAAGAATTTGTTATTAAACATCGATATCTGATAAAAATAAAGAACTTTCTTTATTATTATTTAAATCGATTTAAATAAAGAATACAAACCGTTTAGCAAATTGTTCAAATAAATAACGACGTGGAAAACCTAATTTTCTTATACGAACAGTTTCAAGCATGCCTGTATTACGTAATTGTTCTAATACAACAGATAATTCTAATTTATTTGGTGTTTTATCATTATTTGGTTTAATACAACGAATAAATGTTGGTTGACAACGTGTCATTGTATCAATTAAATGTGATAAACTATCAGAAAATTTTGCTGATACAGTTGGTGTTTTAGCTTTCATTGTTATAAAACGACCTGTTTTAAAATGAAATCCACGATGTGATTCATATACATCACGTATATCACGAAACATATTAGCTAAAATTTCATTTCGACTGGATGAAAATAGATCAATAACATCACTACGTAATAAATCACGATTTTTATCAAGAAATCCACGAACCTTTATATATATATTGATATAGATATGTATGAAATTTCATATAACTTACATCATATTCAACATCACCTGCATAATGTCGTATACTAAATGTAGTTTTTAATAAACGTGGTTTACCATATAAACGATTCGATTCATGAAGCCGATGGCATTTATGTAGAAATGATTGATCAGTTGCCTTAATTAATTAAATAAATATTTAATATTTTGATCATGAATTACACTTCCTACGGCCTTCACTATTCGAAAGAATAGTGACAATCACAGGACTCTAACTAATTCAGCAATCGAATGTCATCCACAATGTATTATAAGACGCTAGATTGAGATAAAATATTGTCTACATGGTATTGTATTACTAAATTCTACTCTGATTATATCTTAAACTGGCACATAATGTGATAAAGTAGTCTATGAGTTTTTCATGTAGGACTCATAACTCTAAATCTAGATTAGACGTTTTCTTTGTTGATTTTTTAAATACTATTAATTTGATTTATGTTAACACAAGATTACAATGACAATATATAAATTTATTAACATAAGACAGGCTTCTCAAAATATATTAGATATTTATTTACTGAGTTTCTATAGATTTTGTAAGCAAAAAAGTACGAATGGACTATGTATTCATTTTTTATGTTTTCAATACTCCTACCCTAACAAATCAATAGATATGAAATTGAAAAATTCTCAGTGTTTTAGTCAGGTTTCTTTTTTTGGGTGTGTGAATCGAAATGTCAAATAGGCACCCCGCCCATTCGCTGAATAAAACACTGAAAACTCTACAATATTTTAATTTTTATTCATTTGATCAACTAGTGAAATGCTATTACCTTTGGAAAATTACTTTCATCATCAAGTATTTGTAGAATTCCATTTGGTTTTTTACCAATTAAATCAAGACAATCAGTATTATCCGAAAAATCAATTTTTTTCCATGCAAGTTTTTCTTTTGCATATTCTTCCTATTAGAAAAGAAATTAAACATCCAAAAAATGATTATTTATGTTATTAAAACTAACTTGTTCTAATTTAAATACATGTCGATTAAAATGAAATTGTAATGCTTCATTTGCATAATTAATACATAATTGTTCAAAACTATTTGTTGAAAAATTTTCAAAACCAAATATATCCAAAATAGCAATACTATTATCAACACTATTATTTACACGAACGATTTGATTAATACGTGCTACAAGCCAACTAAATAATGTTGAATAAAGTGCTTTTGCAATTGCATCACTAAAAAATATATAATTAATGTTTTATTTTTGAACAAAAACAAGAACGCTACCGTGAATCAAGTGCTTGTTCAAGATTAAATGGTGATAAAAGACGTTCATCACGAGCTTCAGTTACTTTATGTGTTAATTTTTGTAAAAGACCTTGATCATTAAGTCCAAGTAAATGTGAACACCATTCAATTTCAGTTTTAGAACTTATTTGTATTAAATCATGATTAGCATCATCAATTGTACGTGAAAAATAAATATTTCCAAGATGTAAAATAGCTGCAAGAATTTTAAATATTGTTTCTTGTTCATTCTTAGTAAAATTAAGAATTTTCATTGCTGTTAATAATGATTGAAAATCATGTGCATCTGATTTACTTGCTATTGCCATTGAAGCACCCTTTATTTAAAAAAAATCATCTCTATAAATATCGTTTGCTTTTAAATAGGAACACATACTTGATTAAGATAAAAATATTTTTCTGGTATTGTTAAACCATATTTACGTTTTTCTTCAGTATCAAATCCTTCAAGTAATTCATAGAAAACATGATAATTACGTTCATCAATTGAATGTGTTACAATACGACTTTTTTCCAAAAGAAAATCTGATAATTTAGCACCAACAATAGATTTTCTTTCAAAAAAATAAAATAAATTTTTTTTCTAAAAGAAAAATCTTTTCTTACTGTGAATAATAAATTTCAATATATTTTCCAAATCGTGATGAATTATCATTACGAACTGTCTTCGCATTACCAAATGATTCAAGTAATGGTGATGCTTCAAGAATTTGTTCAGTAATTAATTTATTTTTACCTGGATTAACCTGCAAATTTAAAATATCTATTATTATAAATTATATTCATAGAATTAATTGACAATTTACCGATGCTAAATAATTCATAATTAATTTTGTACTTTGTGTTTTTCCACCACCACTTTCACCGCTAAAAAATAATTTGAAATAAATAGATATATGAGGAAAATTTTATCATAGATGTGTCTTGTATATAAGAGAAAATATTAAGTACCTGATTACAACGCATTGATTTATTTTATCTGTAAACATTTTACTATGTGCTAATGATGCAGTAGCAAAAATATGTCTAAAATAGAAATAAAATATTAAGAATAGAAAATATTCGATACATACGCAGGTAATGCATTAAGAACTAAAGCATTTTCATATTTTTGTACATAATTTGTTGAATACATTTCATGATACATATGATACGGATTGACAGCAACAAGAATACTACCAATATATGTCTAAGAATTTCGAGAAAAAAAGGAATAAAAATTATATTTTATCATTTAGATCATACATAAAATTGTCGATTGTCATATCGCACTTTAATATTCCAAAGAATTGAAGCTTCACTTAAATCACTCATTGTTATCATATCATTAACACCTTCTGGTGGCAATGGTATACGTGATACAACTCGAGCTGTTTCATCAATTCCAAAAACAAATGTTTTTCCATTGAGAAGTGATTTAATCGATATACGACTACGTGTTACATCGATCACTTCACCAGCTATTGGATAGCCAGCCCCTGAATCGAACCATACTGGTTTACCCTAGAAATAGAATATAATAGGTTTTTCTATTTTATATATTTATTTGGTTTCATTTTTTAGTTGCTTATTCTAACAAGACATATAAGATCAATATTAATAATTTGACTGAAATTGAAATGAAATAAAAAGAGACCTTAAAAATAGAACTTCTACTCTTTTTTTTTCAAAATTTACATACGAGCGAAAAAAAAATAATCATGTATAAAAAAACTAAATTTTAGTTGTTTCACTCTTCTACTTCAATTCACTTGTTTTTTGTTATTCATAACACAACTCATACTTGACGACAGATACAATCACTAATTCGATTTAAAATAAATATCAAAATAATGTATTTATCACTTCAAACTGTATGTGGATGTCATGGATATCTTCTATTTGAATCCATTCATTGTGATCGATGTCGTTCATTGATACCATATCAAGTTAGTGATGAATCTCTCGTTGATCCTGCTACAACAAATAATATGCTCAATGGAAGTAATATGAAAGCTATACAAGGTAGTAAAAATCCATCTGATGCGCTTGTACCATATAAAAAACCAAGTCAACGACAACAAAGATTTACAACTGGTCGTATTCGTTTTCGAGCCTTATGTCCATTTTGTAATAGTTCAACTTATGTTTTACGTTATTATTGTAAACGTGAACGAATTTATTATCATTTACGTATTCAAAATTATAGTGAAAATGAACAAACGACATATAAATCAATTGCTGAAAGTCAAAATAGAAATAATTATGAATTATATAGTGAAAAACATCATCGAAAAAATAGTTCAGTAACTGAAAGTTTAAATGATTCATCAACATTAAGTGGTTCAATTTATCTTCCAGCACCATCAACTATTTTATATGATCAAAGTGGTTTACCAAGTTCAAGAGATTTACAAAATGAAAATGAAAAACGTCTATATGCATTAAATGATTTAGAAGGAGATTTATTTAATGTATTAAGAAATGGTCTTTATTATGATACAATTATTCAATGTCAAGATGATGTTAAATTACAAGTACATCGATGTATTCTTGGTAAGAACAATGATTAGATTTTTTTTATAGAATTTGTTTTCTTCTTGTATAGGTGGTCGTTCATCTTGGTTTCGACATCTTCTAAATGAATATCATGATTCAGATGGACAAGATGATTATGTTTTACAAATAAGTATTGATGATGTTAAATCTGATGTTTTAAATGAAATATTAAATTTTATATATACAAATCGTTGTTTAATTAGTTTAAAAAATGCACCAGATTTATTAGTTGCAGCTAAACGTTTTGAACTTGAAAAATTAAGAAAACAAGTTGGTGATTTTCTTTTATCTCGTCTTACAGTTGAAAATGCTATTGAAATGCTTATTTGTGCACATGAAGCTGGTTCGGAAGCACTTAAATCAGCATGTATACGTATAATTAATCGTCATGCAGAAAAAATTAAACATACAGATAAATGGCGAACATTTAAAACTCAATATGTTGATTTAGTACCTGAATTATATGAACATCGAATAGAACGTTTAGAACCTTTACATACAACATATTTGCCTGATGTTTTTTCAGGACCACCAATACCATCAGAAAGTCTTCGTACATTGACGAAATTATATGATAATCCGGTTAAACAACGACTTGCTTCACCAACACTACGAATTTTACCTGCATCATCAAGGTCACAACAATCTCGTTCACCTACTCCTGTTGTTCAAATACATCAACCATATGAACCGAATGAATCAATAAGACATGAACCAACAGGTTCGTTTGCTCATCAAAATGATCATGCACGTCCATCGATTATTGATCGAGCAAGTCCTGTGAAAAAACCAATAATAACTAGAACACAACGTCGACCTATTCCAACTCCTGTTGCTCCAACTTCTGCACGTTCTGTCTATTCAACTACTAAACAAAAGTCAGACATGGATGTTCAACGTCGTCCAGCCAATGCTAATGAAAAAAGTGTTACTCTACCAGCAACTACTCCTAAACAACAACCAGTTAATACACAAATACCACAAAAACAACCACTTCCAGTACAACAAAAACATCCACCACCAGTACAACAAAAACAACCTCCTCTAGCATCCTTTAAACCACCACCTATAATACCATTAAAACCAGCAGTTCCAACGCAACAAAAACCGGCACCACAAAAACCACCACCACCACCACCACCTCCTCCTCCTGTACAACAAAGAACACCATCTCCGATACTACAAAGATCACCAACTATAGTATCACGTAAACTACCACCTCCAGCACCATCAAAAGTATCAAGAGGTGTTTCACCTCGATATGTAGTTGAAATTCGAGAGAGTCCTTCATTAACAGATATAGGTCCGGACGAACAATTCACATACGCACAACTTATGAGTATGGAAAATATGGATTAGAATTCTTTCAATTTTAGAAGAACTTACCCGTTCGAAACATTCCATTGTCATTTAACTATTATATATTGTATAATGATCAATGAATAAGTCTATAAATAAAATAAAATAAAATATATCAATAATATCATTGTAAATATTTTTTTTTCTGTTCTATTAGATACATACGAACAAATATATAATATATATTTCAAAAAAAAACTGTCGAGAATGAATCGTCGATGTAATTAAGATATAGAATTTTTACTTCAGTTTACCATTCTTTAAACATTGTTCATTCCTTCTCTAGTTCTATACGATAAAGGATTAACTGAATGAAGTTAACATAACAAAAGAAGGATCCCCCTATCATCAATAGAAATAGGTTAATTGCTTATTTGACTTAATGTCAGCTTGTCTTTCGATGTTTCTTTTTTTTGATGCATACCGTCTTATTATTTGTCTCGCAAGAAATAATAGTATTTTAACTATAGTGATAAAATTATTATGACCTCTTCGATTCGTTTTGATAGGAATTGTAAAGATTTATATTTCCTAGTTTATTTGCAATAACTTTTATTGTTATAAATAAAATTTAAGATATTACTTACTTTTATAAAGATTTTATCTCTTTTTCTTTACTGATAATAAATAATTGACTATTACCAATAAAATAGTTCAGAAGAAAAATATATATAAGAATTATTTTTTATCTTCTCGGAGACTAGAAAAGCTTGAATAATGAACGTGTCATCGTCAGTCAATGGTCAATTACTAATTACCCTTCTGCTTATATGTGTATATAGCTGAATGTGTGTGTGTTAATCCGTAGTCATCATTCGAACGTGTCTTCGATTCATTCTCTATTTCGTTCGTTCGTTCGTCCTCCGCCTCCGCCTCAATGTTGTCTCATCTTCATTCTTTTTTTTTGTATTACATTGCATACTTTTTCTGTTGTAAATGACCATCCTTCTTTACAGCAAATTTTGTCTACATGTCTCCAAAGTGTATATAAAAAAGAATCGAAACATTATTGACATATGAATCGTATTCGATATCATTAAATGAATAATGATATTTACTGATTGAGCACTACAAAATGCACATTATTATTATGCATTGTTGATTCATTTATTATGCTAAAGAATTTCTAATTATCGGCAGATCGAAAAAGAAAAGAAGAATAGAAATACGAACAAAAATGAAATACAAATTGAATTTTATAATCAAAATGTTTGATGAATATATTGACAGAAGAAAAAGACAATTTTCGCTCTCTCTTTCTTTCTCTCCTTCTCCTTCTCTTTCTCTTTTCGATTGTCAAACATTATATTCTCTCTTATCCTCTCACATATCTATTAGAGTTTATGTTCATAGATAGTATCATAAAAATATTGTAGGAAATATTTGAAGAGATTACATCATATAATTCCAAGTATTGAAGAACTATATAATAATTGCTTTGTTAATATTTTTATTGATCATCAAATAGAAATGAGATAATTATATTGAATAGAGATATATGATATAATATTTTCTATTTTATATGTCAAACTTATACATTGATTATATATTCATACGAAATGTTCGATCAATAAATATTATCATATGTTAATTACGTTGTGCTTTTAACGAATAATCTTCGATTCAAAAAATAGTTTTTAATCATCTTATAATGAATCTAATCTGAGTAAAAGTATTTTTTTGTTTTCCCCAATGGCGTACCGAGGTGTCGAGGGCAGGGAGGAGCGCAGCACAAATTTAGCACGAAAAAATGTTTTTTCTGTTTAAAAAAACAAAAATTTTTACAAAGAAGGAGGCGTTGCGCCTCTGGTTTCCCCACTTGGAATATATACTATTAGCAATAGATGATCACCGAATAATAATCCTTAACTATATTACAATAGAATTGTATGTTATTTTAATGTGTTTATAGATAGAGAATCAATTTCTATTACATAGTATAGTATGTAAATATAATCATACACTTTATCATGATGGTAAAGTAAGTGAAATACATTATTGTGATTTAGAACGGCTCTTTATGTATATAGTAAATGTAGCTTCAAACAACGTCTCGCGTTCGATTTGTTCTGAAATAGCTTGTATTGGTAGTACTATTAATACAGCTTGACTACACTCTTTTATCAATGTGGCGTTAATAATATATAGCACTATTCATATCTTGTATTTATACATGAATAATATGTGCTGGTTGAGCACTTTCAACACTGGTTCTTTAACCATATTTACATATACTATCTTTTTTACATATTTGGGTGAAAATTTTCATAAAACTCGTTAAATTCATTCATTTGCAATTTATATTTTAAATAATTTTCTTTTTATTTATATTATAAATAAGAAACTAATATGGAATAACCTTTTTCTTTATCAATTTAATTACATTTAAAACGATAAGTATCATACGCTAATCCAATCTATGATAATCTATATCAGATAACAGTTGAATCACCATTACTAATGTCTATTACTAAGCAATGGCTTCTGACTCATCAATGCAACGTTCTTAATGCATTAATGTGTTATAGTAGATCATATTATAAAATATAAATTATTTAATGTAAGAATATAATATAATTATGAAAAAAATTAATTTTACGAACTATTTTTAATCGATTACACGCTTCTAATTTTTTCGACCCTCATCTGATAAAACATCAGCAAAGAAAACAAAAATATCATCATTATCGTCAACCATTTTAACCTTTACGTTCTCGATCCTTCTGATTTATTCTTTCTCGGCCGACCTAGCGAGCAGATACCATATTTTATATGATGACTCGAATACTTCAGTCCTCTCTCGCCCTCTTTTCAGTTACCCCTTTCGACTTTGCCCGTATATTTCAGTAATTGTGCAAGACTTCCATTGCTTCTCTATAAATAGCAATAACTATTTATATTTCGTCGTTCAATTAATTGTACTTTTCTTATTTTAGAAAACATCCTTCTCGTCGGGCAATAAATACTATCTCGTTTAAATATTTTATTATTTTATAAAAAAACCCGACCATGGTAAGAATAAAAAATAATACTTGTATTAAATAAAATTTATTAATATGCTTATATTAGGTTAACTTTACTGTCGATGAAATTCGAGCCTTGATGGACAAGAGACGAAACATTCGTAACATGTCCGTCATTGCTCATGTTGATCACGGAAAATCAACATTAACCGACTCACTTGTGTGCAAAGCTGGTATCATTGCTTCACAAAAGGCCGGTGAAATGCGATTTACAGATACACGTAAGGACGAACAAGAACGATGTATTACAATTAAATCAACGTATGTTTTTTTATTTCAATGAATTATTTGTTTTTCATAAGTTAATTATTTTTTCGTTTCTAGAGCTATTTCACTTTATTATGAATTACCTGCTAAAGATTTCGTTTTTATCAAACAAGAACGTGAACCTGACGTAACACATTTCTTAATCAATCTTATCGATTCACCAGGCCACGTTGATTTTTCATCAGAAGTTACTGCTGCTTTACGTGTTACTGATGGTGCTCTCGTCGTCGTCGATTGCGTCTCAGGTATATAGATATTTGTATTATATATTAGATTTTAAATGAATGTTTTTTTTGTTAAATTTAGGTGTCTGCGTACAAACTGAAACAGTACTTCGTCAAGCTATTGCCGAACGTATCAAACCAATTTTATTCATGAATAAAATGGATCGTGCTTTACTTGAATTACAACTTCAACAAGAAGATCTTTTTCAAACATTTCAACGTATTGTTGAAAACGTCAACGTCATCATTGCCACATATGGTGATGACAATGGTCCAATGGGTGAATTACAAGTAAGAATTTACTTCTGAAATTAAGTTATAATCTTGAGGATGTGGAGAAGAAATTTCTAGAATTCATTTCTGACTTTGTGAATAGAAGATTGAATATTTTGTTAATGGCAAGTTCATAGGCCAACCAAATGTGTGTTTTAATACGCATACGGTGGTTCAACTTCGCCAACATTAAACATATACCTCATAAATCAAGATGTAGTTCGATTTCTATCGTAATACATACGAGCAA